GGCAGCCTGTTCCAGTGCCCAACCACCTTCTGGGTGAAAAACCTTCTTCTAATATCCAACCTAAACCTCCCCTGACACAACCTCAGGTCATTCCTTCAGGTACTCAAAAAACAATGGACTACAGGATGAAATGTTATTTGTATGAATATTCCAGTCAATCATCATAAGACACATATATAATTACTTTACTTTGTGTGTGAAACCTTCTCTAGAAGAACAAAGTACCTTACAAAATGTGAACTTTGTCTTCATAAATAAAAGCATCTGTATTGCTGTCTAACCATCTGGTTTGTCTAAAGTTTATAGTCTCCTGAGTATTATTCACAGGCCCACATATGAGCAAGCCTGCACAGACATTTTTATTTGGTAAAAGCTTTCCCACAGACCTTCATTTTTTTCTATCTGTTTTTGATCTTGTAAAAAAATGTCACTAATACGTGTGTTGTAATACTGCATGTGTTTGTGTTTCTGTGAACTGTGCAGCTCTCCTAGTGTGTAGATATTATGGGCTAGATTCTCTTGGGAACAGTGGAGGAATGAACTACAGAAGAATCATTTGGAGATACCAGACCCTATGACTTCTCTGTGGTCTATGAATAAAGGGCTAGGTGAGGATGGATAGGTTACTTTAAAATGCATCAACTACTAACATGTAACAAAGCATTGAGAATTGTTTCAGTTCAAGAGCTACAGCTGGTAATTGGCAACAACCACTTTGTCAATCCTACACCAGACAGGTATTCTGCTGTGCTTGACAATTCCATGACTCCTAGCATGCAGCTAGCTGTGTTCAGCTCTGTGTGAATAAAATATGTTATTATTTTCCCTTAATTCTACAAGTTGAACAGTCACTATGTTTCTGCTTGCTCTCTCTGTTTCATAAACACAAGATTTTCCATCCAGAGCCCTTAGAAAGCCTTGCCAAAAGGGTTCATTCTCCTTTAGAGTTCAACTGCTCCAGTTTCTAAAGAAAATGTCTCAGTTCTCTGATAGGTCAATAAGTACACAACAGTTCATGAGCTCTGATACTTCTGCCTAATCTGCTCTCTTACCACAGGCAATGGAAAATGTTTCACTTGAAACAACAAACATTCAAAATCAGAAATAGAAATTACCTCAGTAGATATTAATATAACTTCACAGAAGCCCATCTTTCTGCTCTAAACAATGACTGATGTTTCAGCAAAGTAAATGTTGTATATTTTTCTGTAGTTGATAACAATTATTTCACCTTTTTATCTATTAGAAGTCAGCAACTTTATGTATTATGTCAAATGTGTGATTTAAAGAAGTATAGACCTATAGATTATGGAGTGCAGTACTGTATTTGCAATCTGAACATAATTAAGCCACCTGGAGCAAAAAGCTTGTATTTTAAGTGTGAAATTGTGTCTATTTCTACAGTCACTCTTCCTTGTATTTCTTTAATATAAGAAAGTAGAAAGGATCCAAATAGCCCTGCAGAAACTAAGACCCAGGACTTCTCTTTCTACAGAAGAGTTGAGAGAGGGCAGCTGGATCCCACTGGACCCTGCTGTGTTTAGTTTCTAAAAATGGGAAGTAAACTGAGAAGCAGCCTCCAGGGGCAGCAAAATACAGCAGGAAGCTTGGAGATACTGTTCTGTTCTAAAAAAAAATAAATTGTTTCATGTATGTGATTCTATTTACTTCTTTGCTTATTAGTGTAGCTTGAGGGTGCTGGGCTGTTGCCAGGTCAGCTTTTTGCAGCTTTGATTCCTGTTGACATACAAAAGTGTGAGTGTGTGAGCTCACACATACATACTTAAAAGCAGCTTCTGTGAATGCTGAGGAGAAGAGTTTTAAGTAATTCTAACTTGCTGTTAATAGATTTCACTAAAGCCTTGTATGCTGCAAGAGAGATCCACCATATCTTCCAAGTCTAAATCCTCGATCATTCAATTTTAGCCTCTATCATATAGACAGATTCTAAAATGAGCCATACCTTTCCATCTGGAAAGTTAGTGTGTTAACTGATTATACAAATTTCCAGCCATTTTAAATAGGATGCATGTTGCAAATTTAAGTCACAACTTTTTTCAGATTTCAGCAACAAGCCAGGTAACAGAGCTGAAACAATGAGCCTTATTCTTTGTCTGTATGTTCAGATACAAGATGGCTTTGTATTTCTATTGTTTATTGTACTGAAAGACCTAGCCTATTCATTCAGAATGAAAGTCAAGACAATCATTAATTGTGATTTTTCCCAAGTAGCAATGCTAAGCCTGCTCCTAAGTAAATTACTGTACTGCTAATTATTTACATGCATTGAATTTCAGTGTGAATGAGCCTATCACTGCATCAATTTCTACATTACAAATCATCTCATGTTTCCAATCTCAATGCAAGATTAACACTTTTAACCTATGAATGGGAGACAGTATTCACACCAATCAGGATAACCTATATCCTTATGTTCCAGAAGTTATGCTACAGAGCTTTATTTGGGAAGGATAATTAAACAAAAAAATTTGCTTAAAATTTTATATTTTTAGGAAAAAATATTTATTACTATGAAAATCTTGTGTGATCTATATTTGTTTTCAGAACATATTTCCAAGAGCTGGGAAGATTTGTTTTCTGGCATGCATCAAACATTTTTCCATTGGCCACAGCATTCTTGCACTAATTGAGTTTAGAAAACTCTTCAGCTGCTGCCTGGATTAATACAATCTGTGAAAAGCAAGCCTCAGAAATAATGGGATCCATTAGCTAATTACACTTTATACTGAATCAGTTGCAAACTGTAACATGAGAACTGTATTCTGGTATCCCAGACTTTTCAGCTTATCAAATCTGCCATCAAAAAGGGATGTCAGTATCTTCCTTCTGAAATACTTCACACTTCCTAGTGAAGGAATCCACTAATTTTCAAAAGATACAAAACTGTACAAGACCAACACTGCCTTCTGAAGAGATGATTTTGCTGTCTGAAGTAAAAACGTCAGAGAATTTGCTTTGTTTATCATGCATGAAATCCAAACAACTCTGTTCCCTAGTTAAAATTATCCACTCTGCTAAAAAACCACACAAAATCCTACAAAGTACAATCAATTGCAAATTGGGACATTTTGGTAGAAGGTGTGTATCTTTTAAAATGTGATTATGGACTATGTAGAAGAATGTTTATTTGTATTTCCCCTAAATGTTCCTTTACTTTCACAATAATTTTATTTCCCATGACAATATATGTATAAGTAACTGATTGTATTTTGCCATAGCTCTTACCTTTCTATTAATGTTTTAGATAATACATGAGGAAGATAATCTCACTATTTCTCCCATTATTTTTCCACTGAGAGCATTTTATTTCCTTTTTAAACACAAGGAAATTTAGAGCCACATTACAGCTGGCCTTGTTAACATACTGACCTTGACTCTTTGTTGCCTTACACTCTTGGCAGCTACATAATTCTGTATTAAGTGAAAGCTAAAATGCCATCCTCTTTGAATGTTTACCTTCTGAACTTACATGTGAATTTGATTTCAAAGAGGACAAGATCTGAGCGGAGAACCAATGATTTAATATGGAAGTCCAGTCACTTGCTGTTTTAAATTCCAAACTACATTAAATCCCCCAAAAAATAAACCCCATGCAAGGATGTAAGTCACAAAAATCTTTAATATATTTGACTCGTGTTGCCAAATAAACTTTGAGCATTCAAGTAATAAATATGCTTAAATTTAAAATTCATGGGTTGTGCTGGATCAGCTCGACAGTGCTGGTGGACAGTGAGTCCACAGGTTTTGTACTGCAGGTTTTGGACTGCAGCGTGGTACTAAGCTCTACACTGACAAATTTCCAAAGAAAGATTCATTGCTGCTCTCCTCAGCCCAACTCACTGGCTCTGTTCAGCTCACCTCTGTCCACCTCCTGCCATTCCCTTCCAGCCCTCCTCCCTGTGGAGCCAAGTTATATTCACAAGGTTTGTGCTCCTGTCACAAAGTGAATAAACAACTGGAGATGCTGTCAGAGACATTCCTTACAATGCTACATCCTGCTGCCATATCCTCACTGTTTCCAGAAAACAGAGAGCAGCACTGCATGTGGCTGGTCTGTGGGAGATGAGCAGGTCACAGCAGCACCTTACATCATAGCCTGCAATGAGGTCAAAGCAGCCCCAATGGAGGAGGTCAGGTCGTGAGACTCTCATTCCCTTAAAGCCTCACTAAATGCCCATGTAAAAGATTTAGTAGTTGTAAGAATCCTGTTGCTATAAAGATGCACAACACACCATCCATGTAGAATTACTAGAATGACTGTGAAATAAAGTACTTACATTTTAGTAAAATCCAAATAGTTTTCCTTCTATTAGGAAATAATAAAATGCCCTATATGTACATAAGTACAAACCTGCCAGCTTTTTATGAGATGCTCTTTCTGCTAAGAGTGGTTTACCAGCAAATATGCCTTAATTTCTCTGGGTCTGATTATTCCCTATAGGAGTCCTCACACTGGTGCAAAATCAGGCTAACAAAAAGAAAGAAGGCCACCAAAAAAATGCCTTACATTCCACAGGTGCAATTATTTCACAAATAAAAAGGAAATGAATACAAGAGTTTGTAAGTGGTGCTTGCAGATTCTTACCATGTATTCCTTTTGAAATCTGAGATACATTACCATTTTAAAGTACTCTGTGCTCAGTAAAACTAAATAGGGATATTGTTAGTGCTAGGACTTTTTGTAAAATTATAGTATCTTACCTGAGGGCTTTCTTTTCCATTCTGGTATACTTTTGTTTTTTTTTTTTTTTGCTTGTTTTGTGCTATTCATGTTCCAATTAACTCTTACAATGTTACAGCCTACAACCTCTTAGCTCTTATTCCTGTTTTTATGGTAGAAAGCAAAGGGAACAAGCAGCACAAAGCCTTTAACCTTATCTTCCAGGCAAACTTATCACTATATGCTGGTTATTGTCTTCTTTTGCTAATGGAAGGCAGAAAGATACATATATGTAGGTACATCACTGGTTTTCACACAGGCTCCTCCAGGATGATTGTTTTCAGTTCCAGAAGTTGAAGTGCAGCAGATGAACACCCAAATGAGGATGAATTTTAAAGGACCTAAGGACATATGCTCCCAAAATGTAAGTTTTATACATGTTAAAGATACCTATTTAATGGTATACTTCATATTAAAACAGAGGTTTTCAGTAGCAGACCTTAGATAATGCACACACAGGAAACAGATTTAGAGTTGCTTTCTTTTTCTTTTATAGTTCCTGGATACCCAACAAAACTGAATTACTAATGGCTCACTTTTGGGTTGATCATGAGTCTTACCTGAACCTTTTTGTCTATCTGGGTTAATTAGGTATTATGTTTTCTCTTTTTCACCTAAATAAAGATTTTATTATGCCTCAATATTCCAGCTCCTGCCGCTGCTTTCATTGTGCAAGTTAAAGATCTCTCTCATGCTGAGCCACCTGTTTTCACCAAACATGTAAAACTTGTATTGGCTCTGAAATTTCCACTCATCTTCAAGAACTGAAACTGGCCAACAAGGAGGTGATCATTCCCCTTCCTCCTATGATAGGGAAAGACTGGAAGATAGACCTGTGTGACTGCATAAACACTGTTCCTTAGGAAACAGCCTTAAAAAAAAATCACTTTTTGGATCACATGGTTAAAGCTTTGTACAATTGAGGGTTTGAGATGTGCTAAATCTTACACGTTCTGCACAGTCCTATTCATTTGAACAGAACTAATCACTCAAATTGTATAAAGCTAAGTGCTTGTTTAAATCCTCACATGACTGATGACTAATGTTCACTATTTAAATCCTGTCCAAAGACAAAGGAACTGATTGTTTCATTTGAGCAGTCAACTTTCTAATCATCATAGTAATTTAAATCTATATCATTTAAAATGTCTAAGAAGCGTGACCTCGCTTCATGAACAGATTCTTCTTTTATCCTTCTAGAAAATCTTGCATACTAAATACTACCGCGTTAGAAGTAAAATATTTTCAGTCTGAGAGTGACTTAAATTCCATGCTTTACGAAACAAGAAAAAAATTGAGACAGAAGATATTTGATGGGGTTCTTTGAGTGCACGTAATCTAAAGAGAACTCCGACTTGATCTTAAAAATAACCATCACTGAGTATTTAAGTGGGTATAAAGCAGTTTCTGAATGTGTCAGTGTACAGTGCTAGAAGCGAATACAGGGTTTACTGCTTCCTCTTCTCCAGTTTGCCAGTTATAAAAGCCACGGAGTTTGTCCTGTTGCATCTCCAGGAGGTTCAAAGAGCGACTGTAAGCCTCTCCGCCTTGGCACCGTTTAGTTCTCCTTACAGCAGAAGCCCACCTGGTTCCGCTTTGTGACCGGGACCCAGCAAAGTGCACTGCGGTGTCAGAGGGCAGAGCTCCCGCCAGCCGCCCGCTGTCCCTGCCCCGCCCGGGCTCTCCCTGCCCCGCTCCCTGCCCCGCTCCCCCGGTCCCGCCCCGCCCGCCTCGGGTCCCCCGCGCTGCCGCAAAGCGCGCCAGCAGGGCCCGAGCCGGCCGTGCTCTGTCGCGCTGCCGGAAGCGCTGGCGTGGCGCTTTGCGGCGCGGCGCCCCTGATGCGCGGGCAGGAAGCCCCGTGCGGCCTTTCCGCGGAGCCGCCGCCGAGGACGGGTGAGTGCCGGGCCGCTCCGGCCGCGCCCGCCCGCCGCGCTCACGCCGCGCTCACGCCGCGCTCACGCCGCTGTCTCTCTCTTGCAGGAACAGCCATGCCGGCCAAGGGCCCCCTGCAGAGCGTCCAGGTCTTCGGACGAAAGGTGAGGCGCGGGCATGGCGGCCTGCCCCATCTGCTCCTCGCTGCCGGGCTGGCCCGCGCCTTCGGGCCGTGCGCGCTCGGCGTTCTCGCCGTGGCTCCTCGGCGGGGTCGTGCGGCGGGGCTCGGCCGGGGGATGGGGCCCGCCGGGCAGCCCACGTGCCCGCTCCGTGGCTGCCGGAGCACGCCGCGTCCCTGGTGCGCTGCGGGGCTGTGGGGGAGGCTTTGCTCCTCTCGGGGATGGCTCTGGGTGGTCTCTCACCGGAGTCGCCCCAGCCCACAGCGGCCTGGCTTATCAGTGTCGGAATCTGAGGGGCACGTTGTGAGGCGGTGTCGGGAAGGTAAAGTTCGCCCTGTTGGATGGAATGCTGCGTCTCGAATAATTCACGGTACCAGTCTCGTGAGAAAATGAGCCACAAAACTACGGTATTGTAGCACGGAGGGTTTTTCCTTCGTATACAATTAAGTCTTGTAAGTCTAAATCAAACACTGAAACTTACTAAGATTCTGTTGTAATACTGTGATTGTACCTGGAGGTGTAGGGAGAGATACTGTTTTGTGTTAGTCTAAGACTAAGACTGCTCGATTTTTAAAATGAAATTGAAGTTCCTGCTGCTTGTGCGAAAATAAAACGCTGTGTTAATACATGTTTGGATTTTTAGAAAACTGCAACGGCTGTTGCCCACTGCAAGAGAGGGAATGGCCTCATTAAAGTTAATGGAAGACCTCTGGAAATGATTGAGCCCAGAACTCTGCAGTATAAAGTAAGCATCCATCCAGCTTCTGCCCTGCATCCCTTTTTATACATATAATTGCTTCACACTGGAGACAAGTGGCCTGTCCTACTGAAAGTACCAAATTTTTGGTTGCTAACCTGAAATACAAATGCTATTATGAAAATACGGTAAACTTCACTTCTGTGATGGGGGGTTTTGCTTAACAGGTTTCATTTAATGTGAAGTATTCTTTGCACTTCCTACCCACTTTCTAAACTGAAATTGGTGACTTAAAGCCTTCATTTTAAAAAGGTTATTTAGAAGTTTATGCAATAGGTGCTGAACAATGCTGACAGAATCTGTAACTATAAAGTATAATAAGTAGTGAAGAAAACTACCTAGAAACTATCGGGTCTTCACTTTTAATGAACTTGACTTTATTTTTATATATAGTTATGGCATTCTAGTTATTTCTCTTAATTCCCATGTATGTATGGTTTGCTGCTAAGATATTTGAAACTTAAATAAACCGAAGACTTCAGAAAACATGAAAGCACTAGTAGATGTCAAAGAACTCTGCTAGAGGTGTACTTGACCTGGGTGTTTCCTTTTAAAATCAAGGCTCCATTTTTCACAGGATTCAATAACATCACATTCGGTAAAGCTACTATGAGCTCTGACCCTTATTGCAAATGAATTTTCTTTGTGTTTCGTTTCCCAGCTGCTTGAACCTGTCCTCCTCCTGGGGAAGGAACGGTTTGCTGGTGTTGACATCAGAGTCCGTGTGAAGGGTGGTGGCCATGTAGCACAAATCTATGGTAAGGTTTTTGGTGGGATTTCTGGTGTGGGCTGGAATGGGTAAAGCCACTGTGGCGAGTTGACTCTGGCTGGATGCCCGGTGTTCACCAAGCTGCTGTATCACTCATCTCCTTATCCTGATGGGGAAGGGGAGAAAATAAGATGGAAAACTCTTGTGGGTCAAGATGAATGCAGATTAATAAAGCAAAAATAAAGGCTGTGCACTGAAGCAAAGGAAAACTAAAGGCTTCCATCCGCAGGCAATGTTAAGCTACTTCCCAGGAAGTGAGGCCTCAATAGCTATAGCAGTTGCTTTTCCTTTGGTTTTACTGCTGAGCAGACATCCTCTGGTATGGAATATCCCTTCTGGTCAGTTTGGATATCAGTTGTCCTGGCTATGTCACAGGAAAATCATCTCAGACATACCCAATGCAGCCACATCTTTAAGAGGCTTAAGTTTGGAATAGTGACTGGCCAAACTGTTCTTTCTCCACTGTGCAAATGTAGTTTCTCATAAGGGCATGTTGATTATATTTTATGTTCAAAGCTGTAACAGAAAAAGCTGAGTAAAGCAAAATGAAGTTTTGACTAAATGCGCAAGAACTACCTTTACCTTGTGAAGTGACAGAATAGTTTAAATGCAGCTGAGCACAAAGATTTTAGGAGTGGTTTAGCCTTAGAAATTATATCCTTAGTTGGATATTTCCATGTTGCTCAGAAGCGTCTTTGCAGTATGAGCAAAGCTAGGCAGTTTTCCCCTTGCAGGGAAGGCTGGGCATATATTTGCATTAGCTGTTCCTAAGAGGTCATCTTTGCAAAAGATAGATTTGTTCTGCTCTTAATTTCAATGTAGTTAGTAAAGTGGAGCTGAGGCTGCATTAAAACTAGGCAAATTTCAGGCCCAAACTCAATACCATTTATTTTTCAGAACATTGATATTTTCATCAAAATCTTGATGTTAATGTTTTGACAGATAAGTGTAACAACATCCTGACAGTTCTGGTTACTGTTACTGTGCTAGTTTGTATTGCCGTGTTCTAGCACTCAGACCATCTTGTTGTCCCTTTTGCATCCTTAGTCTTTCAACACAGTATCAATTTTATCTTTGATGAAAAGTATAGACATTTCAGAGAACTGTGTTTCTAAAGATTTTGAAAGTTGACTACTGGTAGATAGAAAATGAACCTACATTTGTACTTGGAAGAGAAAGTGATCAGAGAGCACTTGTGCAATTTCTTGGCTAGCTGGCAGCTGTCAAATCAACAGATGAACTGTGGGTGGCCTCTTGGCACAGATTTCTTAAGGTTTGCCAAAGTAAGGGTCACGTGGACTATGTGGGAGGGGATACTAAGGGATGAAAGGACAATTTGGCAGTGAACAAAATAGCATATTTCTCAGATAACTGGCACTTCGTGTTTATATTTTAAATAGATTTGCAGTCGTTAACTGATCTTTTATCTTTGTTTAACAGCTATCCGTCAAGCTATTTCCAAAGCTTTGGTGGCTTACTATCAAAAATGTAAGTAACTGATTGTTTTGTTAGCTTTACATGGAAATGTATGGCTTTTGGTTGTTTTATTGCAAAAAGTATTTATGGATTTGTTCCATGTGAAACAGCTTAAACAAAAGATTTTTTTTATTTTTAAACAGACGTTGATGAAGCTTCCAAGAAAGAGATCAAGGATATTCTAATCCAGTATGATAGGACTCTGCTTGTTGCAGATCCTCGTCGTTGTGAATCCAAGAAATTTGGAGGGCCTGGTGCTCGTGCACGCTACCAGAAGTCTTACCGTTAAAATTGGCGTCTAATCATGTGGCAGTCAATAAACAGAAAGAATTTGATAATTTTTCATGTTTCTAAATTGCCTTTTCTTGGATGGGTAAATAGATTTTTTCACTGTGTGTTAAGATTGATACACAAAGGGATTTGTATTACAGTAGAATCAGTGCATTAATGGCAGTTCTTTTTTTTATCCTTTCTTAGTAATTCTGATAGGTAGGGTTTTAGGAGTAAAGAAAAACTTTCTTTTGAGGAATGTGTGGTTATCCAAACATAAAGAAGGCTCACATCCTGGATTGGCAGGCACATGCAACACA